CAATGACAGGACAAGGGGCAATGGGTAAAAGGTGGAACATATGAGGTTCCACAAAAATACTAGGAAAACCTTTTTCCCTGTGAGGGTGACAGAGCACTGGCACAGGCTGCCCAGGGAGGTTGTGGAGTCTCCTTCTCTGGAGACTTTCAAAATGCATCTGAATGTGTTTCTGTGTGACCTACTGTAGGTGATGCTGCTCTGGCAGGGGGGCTGGACTAGATGATCTTTTGAGGTCCCTTCCAACCCCGAACATTCTGTGATTCTGTGGTGGATCCCTATGTACCTCTGAGGGGCAAGATCCTGGAGTTCTGATAGACACGGGCAAGAAAATGTCAGCTCAGCGGCAGTCAGAAATGCCAGTCAAATGTCCAATGTTATTAAGGATTGTGTGGAACACAAGGTGAGAAACCTTCTCTGTAACCTCATAAATTTGATTCAGATGTGTCTGATGGGTGCTCTGCACTTCTCTCATCTCGATCTAGATAACCCAAACAGGAGGTAAGCAAGAAAAAAAGCCATTAATTAATATGTTTTTCTGGGGCTCAAAAGACGGAGCTTGGGTAAATTATTCATAATGTCATTAAAATTCAAATACAGTTCAAGTTTCCTGTCAGATTAACTAACATGAAGAAACCTACAAGGTGTAGTTTCTTCTCTAAGACTTTTTACTTTGTAATGATAAGACGTTTTGCCCGCCTTTCATTGTCTGGAAGTATCTCTCTGCATCTTAAATAGAAATAACGTTTCCTTTTCTTCCTCCATGGGAAAACTTAAAAGAGTAATGTTTCTATTATTAAATTCATAAATGTAGAGGGGAAATCTCTTGTGTTCTTATGAAACCTGAAGGGGCTTGCAGAGCAGTTGGTTTCACAGGGGAGCAGGCAGAAGGTTTGCAGAAGCCCTTGAGGAACATCTGCCCAGGGCAGACTAGGCGAGTGCAGAGTGGGCCCAGTTCAGAGGTCAGAGACAGCATAACCCTGTGCGCACTGAGCCCTGCCTGGGCTCCGCAAGATAATCAGTTCTGGAAAATACCTCCTTGTACTTATACTATACTAACATAACCTGAATGAACTGGCAGATTCGGGGCTGCAGAGCTGCTAGGGCTTGTCTGCACTTGCTTGCTTTGATACCAGTGCAAAGACTGCCAAACTATATTTCAAGGCATTTCATCTTCCTTGCTGCAATGAAAACAAAATATTCTTCCCTTTTTTTCTTTTTATGTTGGCAAACAGAAGAAAGATTTCCTGGTTGGTGCTGGATTAACTGTTCTTTTCTGTGCCTGTGATTTACATTTAGAACTGGGCCATCTGGCAGAGTGTGCTTTGGCAGCATAGCTGCTTGCGCTGGGTGCAAGTGTAGTTGCATGCGTTTGTGGAATTGAGATCGCAGGTCATGGTCAGCCTGTACACCACTGGGCATGTTCCTGAACTCTAAACAGATCACTATCGATACTTCTAGTGTATAAATAACTAGGCAAAAATCGAGCCACAGTGGTTAGATCCCAGGAGTTTTGCTGTGAAAATGTTTGTTCTGCTTTAGATACCTTTGATGAGTTATCATCTAAACACCTTGTGGAAGCATGGAAGTATATGGAGTGGAATGCTGATTATAATACTTCTATGTAATTTAAATGATTTGATTTTCACAAAAGATCTTAGAGTGTTTTGCAACGAAGTAGATCTAGGAACATTTTTCTGAAGTGTGGATTATTCCACTTGACATGGTGAGTAAAAGAAGTTACATCACTTTCTAAAACTAAACGGAAGGGTCAGCAGGATGACCCAGAGTAAATCATGGTTTTCCTGGCATAGGTTCGCACTCCTGACTAGGCATTATTTCCTTCTCCAAAATAGGTGTTTATAGAATTATAATCACAATTTTGAAATATAAAAATGTTAATTTTATTTTTACTTGCTTGTTGCTAGTACCTAGGCTTTGTTTCTCTGCTTATAACAGACCTTTGAACAGCATTTGTCAAGAATAGCAGAATTCAGAACTAGCAACAGTGGAGCAATTTGTTACCTCCCACAACATAGCCAACATCAATTTGTTATGTGAGCTCACAGCTTTAGCTCAACCTGTGCCTCCTGTGCTTTGTTCCAGGTTATGGACACACAGTGCCTTTATCTGATGGAGGAAAGGCCTTCTGCATCATCTACTCGGTCATCGGGATCCCATTTACACTGCTCTTCCTGACAGCCGTGGTCCAGCGCATCATTGTGTATGTCACCAGGCGGCCTGTGCTCTATTTCCACATTCGCTGGGGCTTCTCCAAGCAAGTTGTTGCAATCATCCACGCTATACTCCTTGGGTTCATCACTGTCTCATGCTTCTTCTTAATCCCAGCAGCAATATTTTCTGTTCTGGAAGATGACTGGAATTTCTTGGAATCTTTTTACTTTTGTTTCATCTCCCTGAGCACCATTGGCCTCGGAGACTATGTGCCAGGAGAAGGCTACAATCAAAAATTCCGAGAGCTGTATAAAATTGGAATTACATGTAAGTGGCAAACTAAGCAGCTAGTAAAAGGCATTTTATTAAAAAAAATAATAGTTAGACTTTCCCTCTCCATTCTTTTGGATAGTAATTGTTTTGTGAGCTGTCAGCTAACAAACTGGGCATTGTAGGTAGCTGTGCAAAGTTGAAGCCTTTAAATAAAGTTTCTTAGTTAAGAAAGAAAAAGCTAAAGCCAGAAACCATTGTGCTAAACTGTAGCTACTTTCTCTTTTACTAACAGTAGAAAACAATGCTCACATTACTGTTACAAAAATGGTTATGAGCACCTTGGGCTAAGATTTCAGTGCATTATGGAGCCAGGAAGATGATCCTTGTAACCTAAGGTCATCTCTTCAGGTGAGACAACAGGTGGAGAGAGGCAAATCAAGGAGCAATGGAAAATGAGGTAGAATAGCCAGGTTTCTGACTCCAGTTGAAACAGAAGATAGCTGAAGCTGGCACTGGGACATACCAGCTTTCAAAGAGATAAGTAGAGTGAGATGATAACAAACCCAGACCAGGAATGTTAAATTGTTTATTTATGTTTGACACAGAAGAGGGGCACAATAATCAGTGCTTTGATCAAAGTAGAGCTAAAAATGTAGCCTATCTGTTGGCATTCTGAATGCGTGTCTGCTGAGGACAGTATTCTCCAGTGACGGTGTTTTGAAGCACCCCAGTTTCTGATGCGGCCTTGGTCTGTGCAGTCCTGGGTCATCAGATGTACTGGCTAAGTGATCTGAACAGTCAAACCAACCTTTCCTGTCAGGTCCAGTTCTTAGTCTGGTGTGCATTTGTCTGTGCTCCTGTGCATGATCCAGCAATCTTAATATAGGCAAAGAGTCCATGATCTTGATTTTGTGTTTTGCATAAAGAACAATTGGGCCTTGGATTTTTTTTCATTGAAGCAGAGGCTTGAACTAGCCAGCAGAACACTTTATTTTATTCTCCTGACAGGCCTGTTGTCGTTGCAGGAGATCTACCTCTTCTAATCATCCTGTTTATCTTACTAGCAATAGCTTTTAGCTATTACCTTGCTGATCTGCAGACCTGATTTAGGGATGCTAAGTGATGGGGTGAATGGAGACAATCATGCATAGTAAAGGACTTGGAAAAATTCTACCCATTCCTGAAAAGTCAAAATCAGAAGAGAGCATTATGACTGAGATTACTCTTTTTCAAACTTTAGAACACTCATGAAATAAATTGCAGGAAATACCAAAATGAAAAAGTAGCTTTTAGACAAAGCTATGAACTTAGAATATTTAATTTCAACAGCTTTTAAGGTTATTACTTTTGAAATATTTTTTTTCCTTTCATGTGAGCAATTCAAGGAACCAACCAGGATGCATAAAATGTTTTGTCTTGCTGAACCTAAGTTTTCTTAAAGAAAAGTTTTGGAGTTCTGCGTCAGAAAGCACTTAATGAGTGCTACAGGCTTTTCAAGAATTTTTAGAACACAAGTCCTGTTCTGAGTCAAGTGTTGGTCAGCTGTACTGGGTTTTAGAGGTAATTTCAAAATTCTCATTGCAGATTTATAGATGTCTTTTAATTCGTATAGCTTTGTCAGTTCTTTCTTGTGTTAATGCATAGCTCCCATTTGATGTCATGAGATAAAGCTTAAAAGCAATTAATAAATCAGGAATACAGCTACAGTTTAGATCAGTACCTGGTACTGCAATACTGATTTAATGGTGCTCCTGGAAGGAAAAGAAGAGTATTATTGCCAGTGAATAATCTGTAACTACAGGTGAAATATTTATGCCTTTAGGTAACAGACCAATGACCATATGTAGATAATAATAATTAATCTGTCTTGATCTGTCAGCATATTTAATGTTCAGCCTTTGGATGAGCATGTTGTACTAATAATTATACACTTAGCTTCTGCTTGTTTTACTCATTGAAATGATAAAATATTCAAGTAGTCGTGCTTCTCATTAAATTGTAATGATCAGTAGTAGGATTCTAATGAAACTTGAGTTTAAGAAATGTTCATTTTAACATCTTCCCTCAAATCCTAGATGTGTGTGTTTGGAGAGGGAAAAAAAAAAAAAGAGGATGGGGGACTGTTAACCATACTAAGCCCTTAAGTCCTGTATCCAAAAGTCTCGGTCTATGAGAGCTGACTACTACCTTTAAAAATTGGAGTCACTACACCACCAAAATCATCAGTAATATACTTTAGGTAGCACTTTCATGTTTGCATAGTTTATGCATGTTAGTAAAACATTGCAAATAATCTTCAGCATGTCATCAGATATAGCAACTTTGTCAGGTTTTTAAAATATCAGCAAAATTATGTTTTACTGTAATTTTTTATTTGGATTTTATTGATTTTGTACACATTTCTAGTTGCTTGTTCTTCTGCTGGTTTCAGACTGTTGGATATCTTCTTATAATTTTAAAGGAAAATAATTCAAAATTTTTCATGAAATATAAGTGGAAAACTGATATGAACAAGAGGTGCCAGAATTTTAATTCTATTTGAAGTGCGTAGGAATTTTAAGGTGAAAAAAATCTTTTGAACAGCACTTAATCATGAAGGTGATAAATGAGCAGAGGAGCATGCATGTGGTAAATTTTAGTATTCTATTTCATTTAATGCTTTTACATATTTTTTCTGTACAGCCGTAACAGAATTAAAGTCACTAGCATTACTCTTTTTTTTTTTTTTGGATTATGTGGAGTCTTGTCAATTGTAGAAGGAAAAAGGAAGAGAGATTTGACAGTCCCAAGTGGCTTGCAAAGCTCTGAAACTGGGTCATAAAGAAAATTAACATACTATTCAGAGATGACAGAGGTGGAAAAAGTTACAGGGTTAAAACAGTTCCAGCCCCACTTAATTTGCTAATAATTAAAATGCTTTTTTCTTTTTTTTTCTTTTTTTTTGTACCCAGGTTATCTGTTGCTGGGCCTTATTGCAATGTTGGTGGTTCTCGAGACTTTCTGTGAACTCCATGAGCTCAAAAAGTTTAGGAAGTTATTTTATGTGAAGAAGGACAAGGAAGAGGACCAAGTGCATATAATGGAACATGACCAGCTCTCCTTCTCTTCCATCTCAGACCAAGCAGCCTCCATGAAGGACGATCAGAAGGCAAATGAGCCTTTTGTGACTTCTCAGTCCCCAACTTCCAATGACAGCTCTCTAAACAATTAATACAGGGGTATCCATACCGTTACTTTGGTGCATTTATGCTATTTACCATAAGAAATAGAATGCCTCAGTTATATTTTTTTCTGGAAATATAAAAGCTGGAAGACTGTGCTACTTTAACAAGGATTCATCACTTCTGACATAGAAAAGACTTCTGGGAAATTGTGGGAACCATCCTGGGAATAGGGAGAAAATGTAGGATGTGGCTGGGAACATTAGGCCATTTTGGTTGAGGGATAAGGAGTTAGGTGTACCGCTTTCAGAGGTGCCAGAAGGAAAGGCTTGCACAAACAACTTCATCCAACGTCTTTAGGAGAGTAGACCTTCACTGACATCCAACTCATTTAGTTGCACGCCCCACCTTGCAACTGTGTGACATAGCCAGTTTTGGGATGTGCGTTTATGATTGTCAGAAGTGTGGTCACAGGTTTAGTCCAAACACACCAAATATCTTAATCTGGAAAACATTTCCAGAGTGCTATCTGTAGGCCTGCTGGAGCAGGGAGTATCTGGCTCATCCCTCTACTACCCTGTAAATCCCAGGTGCAAATAATGATTCCAGGAATGAAAAAATAAGGCTCCTGTCCCTCCTTTGCCCATCCCATTTACGTTCAAGTTTCCTACTTCCTTAAAAGGTCCCCTAATCACAAGAAAACATTGTCCTGAAGAAAGTGTGCCTTGAGTCTTCCATGCTCTTTGTCTTTGTAGGAAATACTTTTGTAAACTCGGAGAGAGAGCAAGACCAATTCAAAGTGCTGAGTGAGGTGGGGTTGTAGGAAAGGGAAGCAGCTGCTCTTCAGCCCTCTGTTCTCTGAAATGGGCAGGAGCAGGTTTTTAGCTATGTGGGATGGAATGAAAAAGGGTCAGCCTGTGCCATGATTGGCATGGTCATGTGTCTGTGGCATTCTCCTGGTAGGTGGCTGAGATCTGTTCAGCAGAAGGAAGACTCAGCGATATTTCTTCTGCAGTCCTACCCACCCTGATGAGCCAATAGGTAAGCGGAGGAACAGGAATAGCGTCACCTTCGAGCGTAGCCCCTTTTTCTTCTTTTACTTTTCTAACTAGTATTTGGAGCACTTTGGAGGAGAAGGGAATGTTTCAGGGCAGAACAATTTTTCAGTTTTTCATATGGCAAGAAAAAAGGGAAAATGTCACATTTGGTTCGGATGGAACTGAAATTTTTTCCCCTTGGGAAAAGTCACTAAAAAGTCAAGATCTCGCTCAGCTTCTGAAGCTGGAACCTCTTTGGCTGTAACAGGAGAGGCGTTTTAGTCCAGCTAGCAGTCACTGTGCTGAATGCAGGGACCTCGGAGAGAATTTAAGTAAGCGGGAGATGAGGCTTAAGGGGTTGTAGTACTCTCTCTTCTGGCCTTAAGAATCTACAGTATGGAAATCTTGATAACGCTTTGCGATGAACCGAAGATCTGGAGCACAAATAGCCATATTAGGACAGCCTCCCACATAGGAATAGTGTAGAGGAGAGCCTTTTCCCTGCAGCGCAAGCATGCCAGATTGCCTGTAATTTGGCTTTTAGTGTTTAGAGCTGAACAATATTTTACTGTAAAAGAAAAAAATGCAGTGTGTCTAGATTTAGCACACGTGGGAAAAATACTTGAAAGTAAATAATCTAAAATATACCATGTTTGAGCTTAGTTTTAGATAGCATCGAACAGATTTTATATCTTTACTGGAAAAACTTACTTTATGGCTAAATCAGCTGGAAGTCTTCAATGAAAATTTATATTTATAGAAAACCAGAGCTAAAGGTTTTGGTTGGTTTGGGTTTTATAGATTAGGTGAGAGCATACTGTGTTTGCATGTTCCCAGGAAAGTGGCTATTTTTATACTGCTTAAGTTAACACAGTTCTATTTATAATGAATGTTAACCAATATATATGTACATATATACATATATATATTTATATACTGTACATATATCATAAATCACCAGAGTTTAACAGACTTGGGAATGGCATTTTAGATATTTTTTTCCCTAGGCTTCTCTTTATACAGTCAGTAATTGAAAACTGTGGCATTAAAATGACACTGACATAAAATTAACAGTACTGTACTACAAAGAATATTTATGCTGGTTTTTCTCAGTGGAATTTTACTGATTGGTTTCAGTACATTAAAATTCAAGATTTCTTTTAGTTTCACTGTAACATTAAGCTCTAAAGGATATGCACAGATGCTAAATGATATGCAAAGTTAATTTTGCAGCGTGTACACAATTGCAAAATGTAGACACGTGAATGAAAGCACAGAATTCAAAGCAGAAACGATAAACTAAGCAGTATACTGTGATGTAGGTGAGTACTTGGTATTTTAAACTTAAATAAAAAGTCTGGCTTTTGCCTGCCTGCACTATAAAGTGGGGAGTATTTTCTTTAGTGATGTGTGTGCGTGCACATACTATGCAAAAATCTTGTCTGCATTTGTCAAGATTGTGCATCCTTTCATTAGCCTTCCTCAACTCAAGGAGAGACCATTAATGACTGAGTGTGTTACCTGACCTTGATGTTAATTGTAGCTTAGCATTGCGTTGATTATTCCTATAGAAGAAAAAGCATTCCAAAGTGTGTTTGTTTTTGTTTCAGATGCTGACTGATTATAGCAAATAAAAAATAGTGGCATAACATTTATCTTGTCTTTATAACCTAGCTACTCCAATATTTGAGGAAATCTGAAAAACTGTCATTGCAGGTTATCAGCACCACTGATGAAAATAATGGCCTTCATTTCCTGCAGCTTTTATATCTTCGTATAAAGCCAACACACAAGATCAGAATAGTTAAAACTGAAATACAGATTAGAAGATGACAGAACCTTAGTATAAAGTTCATATCTTTCCTAGAGGCAAACTGAAGTGGGTGCATGTAAACCCAAATGGAGAGCAACAGTACTGAACAACAGTACTGAAACGAACGTTGCAAGAGCGAGTTGGAAATGTGAGCAAACTACTTGTACACAGAGGAAACTTGGCTGGGCCCTGTCCTCACTCTCCTGCCTTCATATGATCCTGGCATATGTGCTATTAACAGCGTTATTCCCATGCTACAGCTGACATTTGCTATCTTATCTTTGTCTTTCAGTCTTTAAATATAAATTGATTTTATTACGATTTCAAGGGAGAGAACTAGCCAGCCATTCAGTTGCGTTGGGGGAAAGGAAATGGAACAACCCCCTGGAGTTTTGATCTTGGAGCTGAGTGACAGCCACATTTGCCCCTTTGAGAACATGTCCTCTTCCCGAAGAGTTTCTTCCCAGCATTCACCAGTGACACCAAGTGTAGGTGAACACCAGACTTGCTGAAAGTTCACTGATTTTCTAAGTAGATAACTTCAGAGACTTGAGTTGTTCATAGCTTTCATACCAGCACTACAAAAGTTGTCTAGCTGGGTGTATGTCTCAGAGTAACTGCATAAGAGCAGCAGTTCTGGACTACAAGCGATGTTTGTCTGGCCCAGCGTTTTGTCACTGGCAATGGCCAAGAGCAGACATTGTGTAAGAGGGGGCAAGCGTGTGGCAGCAGTTTGCCAGAGTGTTTTCCCAGCTGTTGGCAATGTGCAACTCTGGATATATGACAGTATCTAGGAGGTGTGGAAAGTCAGTGTAGGTGTGATGTGTAGGCAGCCTGCCACACTGATGTGCGTCCTCTCTGTTTTGATTAATGAGAGACTGTCCCACACAGGACCAGGTGATGATTACGTGTTACTTTCCCACCAAGCAGTTTCAAGGTAAGTGCTTTGCAGTAACCAGATGGGGTAGCATGACCGTTGTGACTGCACAGGGTGGTCTCTTCAAAAAGTGAAGAAAGACAGGGGACCTACTGCTGTCACTTGGACATAACTATCCTCTGGCTAGGTTAGGAACACACAGAACCTGTTTGCTGATGCTAAACCTTGCAAATCCATGTTATCATTTGCTTTGTAAAGAGTGATCAGAAATGTACTGAGATAAACTGTAAGTTACTAAAAACGTCACTGCCCTAAATTTGTTCCATTATTATTCACTCTCCTGGATTCTGCTTTCTACTGAAGTCGGTATAACTGGAAGCAGTGTTATTCCAGATCTGCACCAACACAAAAGAATGGGGCTTCTCTTCTCCGCACTAGTAACTGTCATTATTGTGGTGGGTATCAGCCAAAAAGTGTGTACCTTCATGTTTCAAACAGAAACAGGAATTTTTGAAGTCATGAAGTCACAGTGATTAGCTCTGCAAATTCACGTGCTCACTAGTGCGTGTTAGGTACTTGATGTGTGCCATTTTCCATGCTTACCGTGTTAGTCTCATCAATTCCCAAGTTACCATTCTACTTGTTTTTTGTCATGGATTTCTTGTCTCAATTGCCATTGATTATGAGTGCTGTGAGGCAGTTATTTTACTGGTGGTGATGTGGGTTTTGTCAGAGGTGTTGCCTTAACTGACAATGACATTGCCTCATGTGTGGCATTTGGGGCCAAATGATCGATACAGGAAATGAGGAGGGACAGTGTGGCTGCAAGCAGGTGCACGGGCTGTCAGCCAATGTCAGCACAAAATCATCCTGGTGTACTGCTAAGTGACCGCATAGTTTTCACCAGACTTTATTGCTTGTCATAGGAGTAAAAGGAAAAGACTTCCAGAGGAAGGACTTTGCCAAATGCCATCTGAAACTAAGTTCAATGGAATTAGTTTTTTCACTATTTGTCTATACTCTGCGGCTCTCTATGTTACTTCAGTTGCACCGTATATGCTAGAAATGAGGAAAATGGTTTGGCATTTCCCCGGTGTAGATACTTTCTGTGGTCTCTGAAGAAGTTACGCTTGCTATCATAACAAATTTTCCTGTATTAGGTTCAGTGAGTGTTCAGACTCATGAGCAGGAGTGTAGGTCAGCATCGCTGCTGAGACTTTGCAGGGGCAGATATGGCTCAGGGCACTGCTTGGCACTGGGGCTGCCTCTCTTTTTAGAGACCAGGCTGTCTGGAAGGAGAAAAGTAAGCCATCTAATTTGAAAAGTGAGAAACCCACTCTCCTGGGAGGCTCAAAGCTCCTCAAACCTGTTTTGTGCTAATCTCAATCTTGAAATTTGAGGATATATGTGCACGTATCCAGAGTAGCATAGAGAACTGCAACTCTGTGACTAATTTTTTGAGGCTGGTCAACCTACTCAACCTTCTGAATTGGTCTTCCCCATTTAAGAATGTGACTCACAATGTTCACTGACTGTCCCTGAGGGCTCACTGGTACCTAACTGGCACGCTTCAGCAGGTGATGGGGTCGGATTAAGGGAACAG